CACAAATGGCCTTTCTGTTAATGGACCTTACCAACGCATCTGTAACTTAAATTGCTACTCATTTTCTTTTGTGAGACACACAATTATTACTGATTTTTAAAGATGGCTTTAGTGTACTTCCTGATCTACGTCAGGATGACTTCTCATCGTCCAGACGAAGATAAATAATCCCAGAAGAAGAACATCTTCAGATTATATCCTATTTTACAATATGAGTGAAACCTTGAGAGTGGACATTGATACTACTGGTTCCGCTAACCCTAATCAAATCGTACAAATAAATACGTGTGTATATTGAAGGTTATTAATGTTTCTCACTTTCCTTGATTGCACATTACTATACGATATAATACAGCTGACGAGCAGATATACGTAAATACAGAAAGAAGGGAACCGATTAAGGTCATAAATTGGTTAACGATTTTGGAACAGGTATAATATTATCTCAGTCTAATCACGTCTAATATAGTTACTTTGAATTTGTAATCTTTAACATTGAGGGTTTTGACCGCGCAGTATTTTCTGTTTACATAATTTAAAAAAGAAACATACATAAAGTAAAATCCGATTATTATAGAATATAAAGGGACCTAAATATTGTTTTTTTCCCCAGACAGGTTTTCGCTTACACAGTTATTTACTTATAGCTGATATATTATAAATTTTAAGGGGGAAATATACGCCTATTTATGATCCATGTTATAAATAATGATATACTAACATGTTACTGAATAGCAGAATATATTTTTTTAGTTTCTCTTCACTTTAAATATTCCTTTCTATTTTTTTACTTCTTGTAATAATGCGTTACGGTATTTATCAATAAATAGTCAAATATATTATTTTCTCTTAAACTCTTATTTCTATGTCTCTTTCCGCATTTAACTGTTTTCGTTTTCAATAGTGTACATTTTTATTAGTTTACATTTTACATTATTGGATTGATCAATTTTCCGATAAAGGCAGACTCCCACTTAATCCAGTTTCCAACACTGTCTGCATTTTTTGACGGATAAATCAGATGACAGACGGACGGACAGATAACGGGCAGACATACAGAAACATTTGACCAATAAAGTGGCATCCTTTTAAATTTTCATTTTTTCAAAAGCATTTATAAATTAGATATTTCCAAGCATAAACTCTTCAATGAAGCGAAAAACAAAAAGGCCTATTCGAACACGATTATTTGCCTGTTTGACAAGGCTGTGGAATTAACACCGCCAATTAAACAGTTTTCATTCTAAACTGGGTCGTACAAAGACGTTACTTTGTCTCATATTTTCAGAGTAACTTTAAACGTCACTCTGAGCTATAAACATAACCTTAGATTGTCAAGAGATAATTAAATAGTATGCGACATTATTACAAAACCTGAAAGTAACGTCTCGTTAACATGGAAAGTATTGATTAAAAGAGATAAATATATTTGTACACGGATGGCTGTCTTTTTGGGCTGTAGCGCCGTGTAGTCTGGTACACGTTTACCAGACTCTACGGTGCTACAACCTATAATATTCATACTCGTCGCCTTGAGAATATGAAATCTCAAATATGTTCCTAATATTTAATAAAAGACTAGAAAATAATTACGTATTTTCAGTTTTGTAATTCTGTGCTTTTATTTTCCTTTGCTAAAGTTATGCAACTTTTTATGTTGTAATAATAACAACATTTGTGCATTGAAAATCGTCTAAAAAGGCAAAAAATATGGTGATGAATATATTGACAATGTCAAAGAGAAAAGGACTTTATTCCTTAGGCTGCAAATAAGTTTAATTACAAATGTCAACAGCAAGACATTTCACGGATATTTTTAAATAAACTTCACGAAACTGAAAGTACAGAAGAATGCATGAGTGGGAAGTGTTTCGTCGGCCATTTTATTGCTTCATAATACAGTCCGCAAGAGTTAAAGAAAATGTCAAGCAGATTTCTTAAACGAACCCCTGGATAAAAATAGTAACCCCACAAAAAATAAATACAAGCCCTAACATAACATGTTCCCATCATTTTAAAAACAGAGCTACTCCTGATCTGTGGCGTAAAGCATCCAAGACATTTTTACCTGACGACAAAAGAAGATTCATCTTTCAAAACGCAGAGAGTTTAAAGTTTTTGGGATTTTTAAGATTTAAGACAGACGATGTATAAAGAATAAAGTAGTAATATAATACATCGCCAAGACATTCCCAGATAAAGGAAACGTAATAAGCAATCTGCTGGAATTTTACGCTACTCATATAAATTCATGTAATATCCAGTTTCTGGGAATCAGGATTTCAAACTCAGCCATGAAATCTAAGACCCGTGACGTAGACTCAGAGTATCATAATAGATACTTTGTAATTTAAAAAGTTATTAAGTAAGATAGACAGCCTACTTGTTTATACACAATTCTCGCATTACCTTGCGTGTCCAGTGAATACTGGGAACGGGATTCCCCGACGCCTTGCATTCTAGAGTGATAGATCCACCCTTGCGAGCCTTCAGCTGGCCGTTGGACGGCGACATGCGGATGCTAGGTGGCACTGAAACAAAACAACAGAGAAAAGCGCTTAATATGCTTCGTGAAACGCCGAGACGAATTGTGTGATGAAACAAAAATGCAGTAAAGGATGAATATTTTAGCAAGTTATATTCTCATATGCACCAGAATCAATATAACAATAATAATAATGCAATTAACTTAATAATAATAATAATTTGCTACATAACGATCAAGATAATTACGTGACATAATCAAAACAATATTTTCTTTCTCTACTTATCCTTACTCCCGAGAATAACCGGTTTATTAAAAACATTTAAAATATATTGAAATAATAAGTCAAAAAGGAGCGCGCACAAGAATTCCTCCAATGCGTTGCTTAAAAATTAGATTCCTGACTGATATTATTTTCGTTTATAAACCATGCGACAGATCTAACAAGATATATTTCCACCAGGAAAGATTAATTTGTTGCTATAACATTAATATTGGTACCGCCAAAATGTCTGTAATATTTACAAAACAGAATCTGTAGGTAGGTTTATGTTTATGATTATCTTTACACAAAGTTTTATCTGTTTATGACAAGTAATCCGGTTAATACCGCAAAATAAACAGCGATTGAAATGCTACAAAAATATCCTATATAGAGTACCCTCTTGCCTTTCGGGGAAGGGGAGTTACGTTCCTGAACACCCCCGCGAACGACAAAACTGTGACGCGGAGTTCAGGCCTTATGAAAACAGCAGAATTAGTGGAACTAAGCGCACACGAAATATGATACTTAATAAGTATAATAAATGATTAATAAACATGAAAACCTTAATTGTAGCGTTCACTGGCACTGCGTAGGCGTTACTGGCTGAACGTTAACAGGGTGACTAAACACAAGGGTAACTATGGGTTATAAAACTTTCGGAAAGTACAATCGAATTAAATCTGGTGTGGAACCATATCTACGTACCTACCGAGAAAAGGATGTAGGTAGGTTTGTACGTGAGCCCTCAGTGCGTCTGCGCGGAACATACGCCGCGATGCATGAATATTACCAAAATAGTTTTTCCATGAATAAACAACTCACAAACGAGGAGGAGTCTGCTGTAACCCATACTTTTTAGAGTCTTATTACTAAATTCTAAATATTAAATTTCAGTGTCTAACTTTAGTAACAGCTGCAGTTTTACTCTCAAGTCTTTGAGTTTGAAATGTTGATATTCAGGTTACAAGTAGTAATAAACTGGAAGATGCCCAATTGGGATAGCTTCTAATATCAAAATTCTGTAAGAAGTTTCATATAAATCCATCAAATACCACGTTATTGGGGGAAAACACACGGATAGACAAGCATGACACCGTGAACATAAATTTTGTTTAAAAATGTATAAATCTGTCCGTGAACTGAAATTGATGGCATAAGAAACGTAAAAGAGTCAGAAGACATATTTCAATTTCTTGCCTAGTTCAACTAAGGCAGAGCCCCCTAGTGTGCATTAGTTGCACCCATCAGTAAGTGTACAATGCCTTGTCATTCTCTGCCTGTCCGTTGTTAAAACAAATTTCCCACACATTGTGATTTGTATGGGATGCACTACAGGAATTGACCGCATTCATTCCTTCAGTGGGAACACATTAATCCCATCTGTCCATTATAATACAGCAACGTTTTCAAAAGCAAACTTTTGTATCTGGCACGCAATTAATTTTTTGTAAAATAACCCAGAAAGGGGAAAAAAGCAACAGAAGTTTTATTATAAAATGGAGCGTTTTAAATGGGACAAATTCATTTAGTTTGTAACAATTACACTTTTGAAGTCTAGACACTATGGCTAGTGGTATAGATCCTGAGACCCGAAATCATAACACCGTCAACTAACTGCCTAATATTTGAAATCAAAAATTCAACACAATAATGACGTTCATTAACCCAGAAAAAATGTAAAGCAAGTCATAACTAACTAACTAAATGGCTTACCCAACCCAAAGGTTCATCACCGAATTAACCAAAGCCCTCCATCGGACTCTGTCCTGGGCCAACAAAATCCAGTCTACTTCAGCTCCTATCTCTGATAAATCCCATGTAAAGTAACTCGTAAAAATATTAACTGCGTATTTATTTTGAAACACGAAAAGCTGATTAAATACATCCACTACACGCGATTGAAATGCCAGTCTAATCCGGTGGGACAATGTCATGGCTAACCACAATAAAAAGTCGGTTCAGATCTTTTATAACAAAATTACTATATGTCAGATATTGAAATATGTTTTTCCGTTTCTCAAACTATGTAATGTTAAGGCAAACACAAATGTTTTGAAGACTACACATGACGTCAGAATCGTCATTTGACATAAACATATTAACAGGTGAGAAAAGGCTGAGCTGTCATTTAAATGTTATTATTTCAAAAAATTATTAGTTGTAATAATAACTTTTTCAAATGTTACTGTTCGATTCTACGAAAATATTCTAGAATAAATTATGTTTTCATGCATGCAGTATTTACATACCTTTAAAAATTTCGACCGAAAGACTTCGAAAGAGACATACTAGACCTTTAATTCCCGCAGAGTGAAATATTACCCACTTCCATTTCCATATTACACACGCACTCTCCTGCACTACAATCACTTGCTCAAGAGTCCATGCGTCATTAAACAGCAGAATCATATTTCAGAACGTTCCATCGACTGGGGACAGAAATCCTGACGTTGCAATAGAAATCTTACGGGATAAGATATAGTTCTATACGCATTACGCTACTACAACTGATCTCTGCGTAACGGTACGTTTCAAATACCACCGTGATGGAAGTAATTTTGCTATCATTTTACTGTATTAAATGAAGTTGAGGGCTACATTCATTACCATAACCACCGCAATAGCACGTATATTGTAACATCCCTCTTTAATTCTCCATTCATTATGAGATGAGAGTCAAAATCTAAGGGTAATATCCCTTTTCGCCAATCAATGCGCTGTTGAATCCTTTTCTATAAACATCGATAAACAAAAAAGAGTCGACTTAAATAAAAATGGAATTACATCGTAATTCATTAGCTTACAGACATAAAATTGACAGATCTGACAAAACAACTCGCTATAAAAAAGAAGAGGCCCCTATCTAATAAAACGTTCAATAAACCTTGTCACATAACTGTCCACATCGTACCAATTAGTGTTATCAAATTCCACTGAATTCAGTTCTGGTGTTTTGTTTTTCGTCCGCTTTAGCGCGGCCTACATTGAATCCTCGTATGAGTTTGTATCAGGTTTTCTGTTTATATCGGCAAGTTTGATGTATTACTACATATCCACAGGCTACGGTCGCCTAAAGCGACACAAATCTACAACTGCTCTGTATGCCTCTGAAGCAGAATTGTGAGGTTTAATGATATGTGCCAACAAAGAATGTGATTCTTTGTCCACATATCAGATTCTGAAGTCGATACAAGGGCCTTCAGGCATTGAAAGCCGGATATTTGGAATTAGGAACCCAAAGTCAAACCAGCCAAATTTTATTTAAAGCTACAGTAGCAGAAACATAAATATCAATAGGCCTACCCTTCATATCCAAACCATACATAGGAACACAATTTACGGAATGTATTCATCTGCCTTAAAATTTCTACATCAATGTTAAGTCATACCCATCTCCGCTACATTCCACATAGAATCTTTCAAAAACTATTCCTTACATAAACTCTGTGTGTATTTAACTTCCCTAACCTAAATACTTCCCCAGTCCACTTCAACCTTCCTTTTACTGTTATAATAATAATCATTTTTAAATACAAGGACCTTCTCATTGAAATACAATGAATGTGTAAAGTAAAAGCGAAAGTAATTCCAATACTTATAGGAGCAACTGGAACTGTCTCCAAGTCACTAAAAAAAATATTTGGCCAGCATCTCGGGGGAACATGACATTAGGGAACTATAGGAAACCGCCATTCTAGGAACATCATACATAATTCGAAAGACGCTGATGTAAAATATATAATGCCTGACACAAAATTTGTATAATTCATGTAAAACATACTTAAATAAAATGTATTTCAGAAATAACTACTGCTCTATACACCTCAGGGGCAAGGTTTATCTCATGTACATAGACGTAAATAACCTGTAAAATGGTGAGTATATAGAATAATAATAATAATAATAACACAAAACAAATTGTATAATTTTTAAAATTTCTTCTTACATACAATTATAAATTTCCAGCTTAATTCATACCTCATAGATACTAATATTTAACTGTGTACTTTGCTTAGAAATACTTGTAAACTACATTCTTCCATCAGAGCAACAGATCGCGTTTCATAACCTTGAAAACACGACATACGCCAACCTCGATCATCAGTGGTCTGAAGAGTGAAACGGATGTTAAAGTTATAAACTGAAAAGAAGAAGGAAATCAAATAAAGAATAAAGAACGGAGAAAAAATAAGAAAATGAGGACAAGGAAAGAGAAGAAATAAGATTGAAAGAGGGAAGCAAAACATTACAATTTTTATTTCTTTGTCACTAGGATTAAGATTTGATGTTTTCGGTTGACCTAAAATTCAAACATAAAATAAGAAATAACAACCACAATTCGCAATTCTTCTACGAATGCGAGTAACAAATACAAGTTGATTTATGGAAGGCTGACACATAGCAGCAGTTCAGAATACACACACTTATACAAATTATACACATACATAACACATCCGTCATATTTCTTCGCTCCAGAGGCGCAGGCGATGCTTTAAACAGCACAAAGGGAAGAAGACGACTGGGAGGGTGAGAAGGGGGAGATAAAACAAGCAGCCCTTCCGAGAAGAAGCGACTTAAGATTCGCACAGAAATACAGACGTTTGGAACAAATGCAAGAAATAAAAAATAATAACGAACATTTCGGGAAGTAAAATGACCCAAGGTTCGAATCTCCGCAGGGACAGAAACTTTTTCTTCTCTTCCATTCTCAGACTAGCCACGGAACCAATATCCTGCCCAATTCCTCACTGGTATGGCGGAGCGCCAAACCCAAAATATTC